AATTTAAGACTCTTAATATCAAAGTAGTGATTCCGTGATCCAGCACAGATGGCAAATTTAAGGACTCAACATGCTTTTCCAGACTCTAATATTATTAGTTTGGCTCTGGCAGGTGACTCAGATATCTTATCTAACATTACAAGAGTAGAGGACTTAGTCATGCCTTCAGATTTACTGAGTTGAAGAATGTTGTACAAACTTCTTTTCACATAACTCATTTAAGAAAAACTTTACCTTAAGCAGCTGTCTCATTGAATAGCAACATCAAGTTGGGTCTCTCTATTTCCATTTTCCTGAATTTGCCAGTATAGGATAAACAGGTTCAAATATTGTAAGATTTTTGTCTTCATTTATTTTCTTTATAATGTTAGCGTTTGGGTATAAGATATTGTGTAGCTCTTCTCAAAACACTGTAGCCAAGGTGGTTATGTTACCTAGAGGGGAAGGGATGGCACATTTGGGCTGAAACCACTCATGTTGGTATTCCATCTATCATATAGATAAAAGAATTTTCAAAATGGCCAGACTACATTAGTTTCTTCTTACAAGAACTTAGGAAATTACATGGAGAAGGGGAACCTAAATAGGTATATATTCCAAAAGGGAAGCATAAATGGTTATCTCATTACATTACTTCAAATACTTGATCCTTAACTTTTCCTGTTATAGAAGCTTTGGAAATTCTCCAGCAGTTACAAAACAGGATGGGGGAGGGTGAGTGGGAGGGACACTAATTCCTGCATGGTTGTGTGTGTGATAGGAGAGAAAATCTATGATTGGTTTCTCTTACAGGAAGTGCCAGTGAAGTACTCAAAGAATGGACAGTAACAGGCAAGAAAAAGGTAAAAATGAATTAAATTTCAAAGTATAATATTGATGTTTATATTATTTCTTTAAATTTAGGTTCTGCAAAACTATTTGAAAGCAAAGGTTTACTTATATTCACATCTTCAGTTTACCTGGGTTAAAATACACATCTTCTTTGACATTGAAACACACTGTGTCTCACTGAGTACCACACAGAGCCCTTCATGTAATTTAAGGCAGGAAACAGAATGGCTTTGCCATCGTGGTGCATTTACTGAGGGGATATTGGATAGGGGAGAAAAAGAGAGCAAATCAAAGAAAGTAGAGCTCCTCCAGAGAAAGTAGTCTAATTGAATGATTTTCAACCATATTCATATTAGATAAATTAAAACAGTTCAGATTTAACTGGACTGTAGTCTCTGATATTAATTAGCTTTAACAAAAAGTCTTTGCTACTATAACTAGGTGCCTTGCAGAGGACTCTGATATTTCAATTTGAGGCGGTAGAGGGCATTTGGGCTATGGACTCAGTCAGAACTGGATTTCTATCCTGTTCCATGGCCTTGTGACCTGAGAGTATTGTTTAACCTTTGTGCGCTTTAGTTCCTTATCTCTAAAAAGGAAAGTAGTACTAATAAATACAAGTACCTAATATAATGCCTAACATTAGTTCTCTTATTAGTTTTCTAATAAACATTAGAAAACATTAGTTTTCTTTATCCACTTAAAACCAAATGCTTTTCCCAAAGGATACTAGCTGGTCTCAAAATTCTTCCCATAGCTCTATATCTTTAATGTAGCCCTGTAAGGAAATGGTTGAAGTATATATGGATTTTAATCAAATATATCTATGAAATCTGTTTGAGGTATTCTTTTTCAGCATTAGTTTAGTGCTAGAGTTATGAAATGGTTTTTTGATAATTCTAATGTCACTTTGTGAGGAATTCTGTCAGGTCTTGACCAAACCAGGCTTGGCCTCAAGGACCCTTGAGAATTTTTTCCAAGGGGTACTTAATACTACTATATATTTTCCAGACGCTCCCAATGCCTGGAACTTGGAATATTTAACTTTTTCTCACTGCTTTCAACCTACATAGATAACTGTGAGTGTTCTGGAAAACACCAGTTCTTTATTTATTGGCCCAGGGTTATAAGTTATTAGTGATATAAAATATTCATAAAGCTGGAAAAATATGTATATTGGAGATAAGCACATTTTTTTTTTTAATTTGGAGAAAGCCTAGCAATCTGGCAGGCTGAGGCAGGAGGATTGCTTGAGCTCAGGAGTTCAATACCACCCTGAGCAAGATTGAGACCCCAATTCTACTAAAAATAGAAAAATTAGCCAGTCATTGTAGGCACCTATAGTCCTAGCTACTTAGGAGGCTGAGGGAGGAGGATCACTTAAACCCAAGAGTTTGAAGTTACTGTTGAGCATTGCTGATGCCATAGTACTCTACCCTGGGCAACATAGTGAGACTCTGTCTCAAAAATATATATATGTGTGTGTGTCTGTGTGTCTCTCTCTCTATGTGTGTGTGTGTGTTTTGTTTTTTAAGAAAGAACGATGGCTTTATATGGCACTCCCAAATGCATACCCTAATCCAGTCCAGGTAACTGTTGGGAATAGTCCAACAGGATATGATTATATGTAGTTACTGGACTTACTATTAATATACATGGGACAATGATATGAAAACTAAGCCAGTTCACATGGGGGAAAGTATTTAAGAGAAGGGAGTTGACAGCTGTGTGGAGGAGAAAAAGCATATTTAGAATTTAGTAGTGCTCCTGCTGGAGAGGGCCACAGAACTTGGGGAAAAACTGATTTAGTTTTATCCGTCTAGCCATATAGATAGAATTAAGTATTGCCTGTGGAGCGGTGGGTTGACAAAAGCAAAGGTAAAGGACTTTTTTGTTTGTTTTAATTTTACTGTTTATATAGATAAGATAATATATTCATGTGGCTCAAAATTCAGAGATAGAAGAGTTAATACACTGAAACATCGTTATCCCATCCCTGTGCCTCAGCCATTTGGTTTCCCACACATGAGGCAAACAGTGTATGAATTTTTTATTGCTAAGTATCAATATCCTCCAGGATATTTTATACATATATAAGCAAATATAAATATGTGTTCTCCTCTTTGTCTGCTTTTTTTCTTTCATGTAGTATATCTTAGAGCACATTCCATGTCTTAAAATATAGAGAGCTTTCTTACTGTTTTTTTTATGTATTCTACTGTTTGGTTGTACTATAACTTATTTAACCAGTCCCCTATTGATCAAGATTTAGGTTGTTTCTAATCCTTTGCTTTTAATAACAATATTGTAATAAATAAGCTTGTATGTATGTGTATGTATATTTAGTATATATAATTTTGCACAAGTTAATCTTGCCAGAAAAAAATTCCTAGAAGTAGAATTGTTGGGCAAAGGATATATGCACGTGTAATTCTGATAAGTATTACTTGATTGCCATAGAGAGTACCACTTTGCACACCCACAAGTATATATGAGAATGCCTATTTCTCAATAACCTCAACTCTGTGAATCCTATAATGTTATCATATTATACTTTTTGACCATTGCTAGTCTAATGGATTAAAAAATGATTAATTTATGTCTCTTATTAGACTTTCCTTTTATGTTTATAGATTATACTGTTGTTTTCTGTTGGATTGTTTTTTTGTTGTTGTTGTTAGAACTCTGTGGATGTCTAATTCTTTGTCTAGCTCTTTGTCCAAAATATTTTTTCACATTTTGTAATTTATTTTTTGATTCTGTTTAGGTGGGTTTTGCCATGAAGAAATGTTTTATATTTATTTATGTTTGCGTTTATCCAAAGTATAGGATCTTGTATAGTAAAATTTTATTTTAGGTAGTAGTTCAAAATATACAAAAATGTGTTAAATTTCTGGAAGAATAAATGAGAAATTGGTAACACTGGTTACTTTTGGGTAGCTAGAGTTACCTCTCTGGGTGTTGGGGCTATGGGGGCAGGCATGTCTTCTTTTACTTTCTTTTTTTCCAAATTTTTAATAACCTTAGAACAAAAAGAAGAAAAGCAAACCAAAACCTGCAGCAGATGCAAGTAACAGTATCCCAGATTCCAGTAAATCAGTTTCCATTCAAGAGGAACAGTCTATGCCTTCCTCAGAGAAAGGTGGTATTAATGGTTACCATGTCAATGGTGCCATCAATGATACTGAGTCTGTGGACTCACTCAGTGAAGGTTTGGAGACACTTTCAATAGATGCCAGAGAACTGGAGGATCCCGAGTCTGCCACACCAGATATGCTGGATAGAACAGGTGAGTTTAGTGACAGGTCTTTGAAAAGGTGCATTCAGTTGAAAAATTTAGGAGCCTCTTGATTGAGAACATAAATCTAGTTGGTCATTTAATTTATAGTTTCAGTTATCTTTTGGATAAAGGAGTGACATTTATTATCAAAGGCCTAGAAAAATACAATTTTGGGCTCGGCACCTATGGCTCAAGTGGCTGAGGTGCCAGCCACACACACCTGAGCTGGTGGGTTCGGATCCATCCTGGGCCCGGCAAACAACAATGATGGCTGCAACCAAAAAATAGCCAGGCGTTGTGGCGGGCACCTGTAGTCCCAGCTACTTGGGAGGCGGAGGCAGGAGAATTGCTTGAGCCCAGGAGTTGGACGTTGCTGTGAGCTGTGATGCCATCGCACTCTACCCAGGGCAACAGCTTGAGGCTCTGTCTCAAAAAAAAAGAAAGAAAGAAAGAAAGAAAAATACAGTTTTGTTTCATTTTCTCATATTTTAACTCTAGTCTAGATCAGTCTTGTGGAAATCTCCTAACTTAGTAACAGAGGAATACCTTAGTATTTAGAGACTACTGAAAGTGACTTTTAAGTTTTGGGGGTTTTTAAAAATTTATTTATTAGAGAGGGGCTGGTCTTGAACTCCTTGGCTCAAGTGATTCTACTGCTTTGGCCTCCCAAAGTGCTAGGTTTACAGGCATGAGCCACCATGCCCACTTTAAGATTTTTTTTTTTTAATTGTAGGCTGGCACAGTGGCTCATACCTGTAATCCCAGCACAATGGGAGAATCACTTCAGGCTAGGAGTTTGAGATAACAGTGAACTATGATCATGTCACTGCACTCCAGGCTGGGTAATAAAGCAAGACCCTGTGTCATAGATAAATAAATGACAATGCTAAGAAAAACAATGATGAGATGATGATGTTGATAGTATTAGTCTACAACTCAACACAATGAAGAATACAAATATATAATAACTATAATCCAAGCTTTTATGAGAACTAGACTATAGGTTTTTATAGTCTCACATTTTCTTTCTGATAAAGAATTAAGATTAGTGTTAGTTGGAAATTCATGTATTTTGTAAATTTATTTGTTAGCCATTTTATTGAGGGCCGGGAAGATACTGAGAATATCTCTTTTTAAAAATTACTTATTTGTTAATCTAGTTAACAAATAGCTTTCTGCTTCTGGCTTTATACTATGTAAGTATAATGCTAACATAAGAATTATGGGTTTTATTTATTTATTTATTTTATTGTTTTGAGACTCACTTTGTCACCCTCGATACAGTGTGTGGTATCATAGCTCACAGAAACCTCAAACCCTTGGGCTCAAGTGATTCTCTTGCCTCAGCCTGCCAAGTAGCTGGGACTACAGGCGCCCGCCACAATGCCCAGCTATTTTTAGAGATGAGGTCTTCCTCTGGCTCAAGCTCACTGATTTTGAACCTTTGAGCTCAGGCAATCCACCCACCTTGGCCTCCCAAGTGCTAGGGTTACAGGCGTGAACCACCACGCCCAGCCCAAGAATTATGATTTTTTAGATGTTCTTTTATTGGTTAGTTGACACACACAGACTTAGAGAAAAACATACTTACACTGACTTCAAACAAACGAATGACAGTGTATGGCGTCCACTGTTTTTTTTTTTTTGAGCTAGCTTTCCTCTCATTTCCCAACTCTTTGTCCTTTCTATTTCCTAAAGCTTTTTAAATTCTTTCCCCAGAAGAGTGTATAACTTTTTTTTTCTCAACATAACTTATGGAAGGCAACCTTCTACAAGGCTGCCTTCCTCACATACAGTGCTTCAAACTGCATATGGAAGTTGGTGATACGGAGTCTTTATTTCCTTGTACTGGGCTAGAAGAAACTACTAAGCTACAAGGAAGCCGCTGAGTTGCAGGGAATTAGCTCCCTCTCCAAAGATGTGTAACCACAGATTCCTCTTCTTCATTCACATGCCCCTTAGCACTAAGCCAGCTGATTCTGATCTTTGTTTTATTTTGTGACTTAATTTTGTTCACAGCCATTTAAGAGGCATCATTTTGTGTAAAATGTTTTTCCCTGTTCTGTGTGTGTCTGTGTGTGTGTGTGTGCATGTGCTTAAGATTGCTTGATTGAGGTGAAGACAGTGCTGTGGCTCATGCCTATAATCCTAGTACTCTGGGAGGCCCGGGCAAGTGGATCCTTTGAGCTCAGGAGTTCAAGACCAGCCTGAGCAAGAGTGAGACCCTGTCTCTTCCAAAAATAGAACAATAGTCAAGCATAGTGTTGCTCACCTGTAGTCTTAGCTACGTGGGAGCCTGAGGCAAGAGTATTGCTCAAGCCTAAGAGTCTGAAGTTGTTCTGAGCTATGATGCCATGGCACTCTACCCAGGGCAACTGAGTGAGAGTCTGTCTCAAAACAAACAAAAAAAAGATCACTTGATTGATTTATCCCTAACTTGTGTTCTAAAATACTCTCCTCTTTCTTGTACAGGATCCATGCAGGAGAATGGTGTCTCTGATTTTGGGTCCAAGTCTTTGACTATGTACTCTATTCAGAATTCTCAACAATCCAGGAATGCTGCCAAATCTCTCTCAAGACCTACCACAGCACCTCACTTTTCAAATCTGGGGATGGAAAATGTTCCCTTCTCCTCCACCAATAAAAAGTTAGGTAAGTCAGGGACCTACCTGTGAGAGAGAATGAAAAATCTGTATTTTTGGCTAATGAGGGAAATTTATCTCTTTGTTGTCATAGAAAGTTTCAGAAGGACAACTAGTAATACTTTACCTAACTCTTCCTTGCTGCCTTTGTGTAGTCTGCTGGAGTAGAAGTTTAAATCTGTACAGTCTTGTTAGAAAAAGAGGGACCCCTCGGCTCAGCACCTGTAGCTTAAGCGGTTAAGGTGCCAGCCACTTACACCAGAGCTGGCGGGTTCAAATCCAGCCTGGGCCTGCCAAACAGCAATGGCATCTATAACCAAAAAATAGCTGGGCATTGGAGGCAGGCACCTGTAGTCCCAGCTACTTGGGAGGCTGAGGTAAGAGAATGTTCTGACTACAGGCACCGGTAGTCCCAGCTACTTGGGAGGCTGAAGGATTAAGCCCAGGATTTGGAGGTTGGTGTGAGCTGTAATGCCATGGCACTCTACCCAGGGCAACAGCTTGAGGCTGTGTCTCAAAAAAAGAAAGGAAAAAGAGGGACCCTTTTTAAAATTAAAGTCAAATTCTACTGCCAGAATGACTTAGCTGCTAACATTAACCTGTCCTTTGTTTGCTTTACTGCAATGTTTTTGTGCTATTTCCTTCATTTTTATCTCCTGGTTGACTCAACAAATAAAAAGCTCTTTCATCTTGGAGGTGACATTTTAAGGAAATATTTTTACTCCTCTTCACAACTTCATGCTCTTACTGATTGATGTCTGGAAGACTGTAGCTTTAGTTAAGATCATTTTCTCTTAAGTAAGTACTTAGCATTGACTGGCAGTAGCTCTTTGCTTTTGCTTTTTTTTTTTTTTTAACTATTAATATGATAATCATTTAAATAAACGAACAGAGATAGTAACCCCTTTGAGTTTCGTACATCTAAGTGTAGTGGTCCACTCCATTTGAACAAATGAAACAAAAATGTAAAGGACATATGTAATTGGTAGCTATTTATGGAATCAATTTATTTAATATGAACTAAATTTTAATTAGTGAAGCTCTCCTTCATTTTCCTAGTAGCCCTCAGTTTGCTACAAAAAATCAAGTCTGAAAATATCCAGTCAAGCAGAAGTAAAAGAATGTATATAGGCACAAGGCTTAAAAGCTTTTAGGTTCTAAAATAAACTCAAGCTGACATGAGGACGAATTTAAATCAAAACTTGAAAGTGTGTATCTTGGCACAATTATAAACTTTTTAGATTCATGATTCTGATAGTCATTTATATATATAACTTTGGCACTGGTAAATACAGAAAGGTCAATAGAACTCTTAGAAACTGGTTAAAATGTGTTGGGTAGGTAAGTGCTTTTCCTCTTTTTCTAAAAGGCTGCCTTCCTCACATACAGTGCTTCAAACTGCATGTAGACCCAGAACTTTTTAATTTTGTCATGTCTACATGGTGAATTCTATTTTTTATTTTAGTAGAGATGAGATCTGTCTGTGTTGCCCAGGCTGGTTTTGAACTCCTGGCCTCAAGTGATCCTCCCACCTCAGTCTCCCAAAGCACTGGAATTATAGGCATGAGCCATGGTATCCAGCCTCATTTTTAAGTCTTTTTCTGTTTTTCACTTAATTTTGGGTAGTTTCAAAAATTGCTATCTTTAAATGTATTAATCCATCTTTAAACTGTTTCTACTCTGTGTTTAACTATATCCGTTGTATTTTTCATCTTAGACATTGTTTTTTACATCTTTAGAAGTTCAATTTGGGTTTTTTAAGATAATGGTTCATATCCCTCCTTAACGTGCTTATGTGTTGTCCTCTTTCTTCTTGAACCTACAGTATCTAATTATAATAGCTGTTTGATGTCCTTTTTGATTCTATCATCTATATGACTTCTGTATCTGTTTCTGTCTGTTGATTGAGGTTTCTCCTCATTATATTTTTCTGCTTACTTTTATGCCTGATAATTTTTTTGGTGAGACAGTCTCAAGCTGTTGCCCTGGGTAGAGTGCTATGGCATCACAGCTCACAGCAACCTCAAACTCTTGGGCATAAGTGATTCTCTCACCTCTGCCCTGGCAAGGCCCACTATTTTGTTGTTGTTGTTGTTGTTGTTGTTGCAGTTGTCATTGTTGTTTTAGCTGGCCCAGGTCGGGTTCGAACCTACCAGCCTTGGTATATGTGGCCAGTGCCCTACCCGCTGAGCTATGGGCCTTGCCTGATAATTTTTTATTGGATCCCAGACATTGTGAATTTTACCTTATTGATTATGTGGTATTTCTGAATTTCTTTAAACATCTTTATGATTTGTTCTGAGACTTGTGGAAACAGTTTGAGGCTTACTTTTAAGCTTTTTAGATGGAACTAGAGCAGACGTTAGTCCACAGTAATTTTGCCTCATTACTGAGCCAGCATCTTTCTGAGTGTTCTGCTATGTGCCACATGTATTGTAAGGTTTTCTCACTCTGGCTGGAGTGAACACAAACTATTCCTGGCCTGGGTGAGCCCTGGCTATTGTTCTGCCTGATGCTTTCCACCTTTTCTTTTTCCTAACTTTTTTTTTTTTCTTAATTGCTCTGCATTTGGGGACTTTCTGTAGAAAATCTTAGAATTGTGCTAATTGGCCCAATTATAAATTTATAGTCTTGGCTTGGTGCCTGTAGCTCAGGCAGCTAGAATGCCAGCCACATACACCAGAACTGGCAGGTTTGAATTGAGCCCAGGCCTGCCAAACAACAATGACAACTATAGCCAAAAAATAGCTGGGTGTTATGGCAGGTACCTGTAGTTCCAGCTACTTGGAAGGCTGAGGCGAGAGAATCGCTTAAGCCCAAGAGTTTGAGGTTGCTATGAGCTGTGACACCATAGCACTCTACCCAGGGCAACAGCTTGAGACTCTGTCTCAAAAAAAAAAAAAAAAAAAGAGGCAAGTGCTCAGTGAGTAGGGCGCTGGCCTCGTATACCGAGGGTAGTGGGTTCAAACCCGGCCCCAGTCAAACTGCAACCAAAAAAATAAATAAATAAAAATAACCAGGCATTCTGGTGGGCTCCTGTAATTCCAACTACTCTGGCGGCTGAGGCAAGAGAATCACCTAAGCCCAAGAGCTGGAGGTTGCTGTGCGCTGTGCCGCCAGGGCACTCTACCAAGGGTGACAAAGTGAGACTCTGTCTCTTAAAAAAAAAAAACAAAACAAAGAACAAATTTACAGGCTCTAATTGAATCTATACTTTTTTAAAATTTCAAAATATGAAATTGGTACAAACGTTTCAGTTACATAAATTTCTTTTGTACAATTTGAGTCAAAGTTATAAATGTGCCCCTCACCAGATAGTATGCAGTATACCCATTAGGTGTGAATTTACCCCTCCCTTTGAACCCCTTCCCACCTGCTTGCTTTCCACTGAGTTGAGTTTTAATAAAATGTGCACATAGGTTCGTTTCCAATTTAAGGAGTACATACGGTGTTCATTTTTCCATTCTTGTGAAACTTCACTTAGAAGAATGGTGTACAGTTCAATCCAGGTTGTTCCAAAAGGTATTAGTTCATCTTTTTTTTTAATGGCTGAATAGAACTCAATGATACACATATACCACATATTATTAATTGACTTATGTGTTGTTGATGGGCACATGGGTTGATTCTACATCTATGCAATTGTGAATTGTGCTGCTATAAACATTTGAGTACATGTATATTTCTGGTAAAATGACTTTTATTCCTTCAGTAAATAATAGTGGGATTGCTGGATTAATGTAGGTCTACTCTTAGTTCTTTGAGGTATCTCCATATGACTTTCCATAGAGGTTATACTAGTTTGTAGTCCTACCAACAGTGCATAAGTGTTCCTTTCTCTCTGCATCACATTAGTATCTGTTGTTTTGGAATTTTTTTTTTAATAAAAGCCACTCTCATTGGAGTTGGGTGATACCTCATTATGGTTTGGATTTGCATTTCCCTGATAATTAGAGATATTGAGCATTTTTTCATGTTTTTGGCTATTAGTTTGTCTACTTTTGAAAAGTTTCCATTCATGTCTTTTGCCCACTTTTTTATGGTGTTGTTTGATTTTTTTTTCTTGCTGATTTGCTTGAGTTTGTTATAGATTTTGATTATTAGCCCTTTATTGGATGAATAGCATGCAAACATGTTCTCCCATTCTGTAGATTGTCTGTTCACTCTATTGATTGGTTCCTTGGCTGTGCAGAAATTTTTTAATAAATTCAGGTCCCATTTTGTTAATTTTTTTGTTTCTGTGATAGCTTTTGAGGTCTTTATAAATTCTTTGCGTAGGCCAGTGTCTGGTCTATAAGAGTGTTTCTAACATTTTCTTCTAGAATTCCTATTGTTTCACACCTTAGATTTAAGTCTTTTATCCATTGTGAATTAATTTTTGTGAGGGGTGAAAGGGGTAGATCCTATTTCATTCTTCTATATCTGGCTATCCAATTTTCTTTTTTTCTTTTCTTTTTCTTTTTTTTGGAGATAGTCTTCACTATGTTTCCCTCGGTAGAGAGCCATGGTGTCACAGCTCACAGCAACCTCAAACTCTTGGGCTTAAGATTCTCTTGCCTCAACCTCCCAAGTAGCTGGGACTACAGGCGCCCTCCACAACACCCTGCTTATTTCTTAGTTGCAGTTGTCATTGTAGTTTAGCTGGCCCAGGCCGAGTTCGAACCCGCCAGCCTGGGTGTATGTGGCCAGCATCCTACCCACTGAGCTACAGGTGCCAGCAGGCTATCCAATTTTCTACATGTGGCTATCCATTTTTGCCAGCACCATTTATTGAATAGTTGAATAGGTATTATTTTTCCTAGTGTATGTTATTGCCTTCTTGGTCAAAGATCAGATGGCAGTATGAGGATGGTTTTATATCTGGCTTTTCTGTTCTGATCCATTGGTCTGTGTCTGTTCTTATGCCAATATTTATAGCCTTTTAGTATAGCTTGAAATTCAGTAAAGTGATGCCTCCTGACTTGTCCTTTTTGCTTAAGGTTGCTCTGGAGATTCAGGCTCTGTTTTTCT